CTTCTACCATATCCACTATAATATCCTTCAGCATTTCTTCTTTCACATCTATTTTCTTCATCGAATCCATTTTTTTTCCAACAACAGCTGTCAAAATGTCCAAACCGCTGACAAATTTTACATTTTTTTCCATAGGCAGGACATTTTCCAAATTCATGAGTTAGATTACACCTAGTACAGGGCTTTCTTCTGGCGCCAATGGCGAATACTTCGGATTCCTTCGACTTACTCCCATCAATCATTCTGGAATGTTCCTTACTGATTTCAACCGATTTACAATATTCTATAACTTTGTCCAAACTGATATTATTTTCTCTCAATATTCTTTCTTGAATTGCTGCATCATTCAATCCGATTACTATTTTATCTCTTATCATTCGTTCTTCGTAACTAACTTTACAACTTTTGCATTCAAAGTTACATAAACTTGCCTGTATCTTGAGCTCTGTCAAGAAACCCTCAATACTCTGATCATTTTCTTGTTTGATTTTATGGAATTTGAAAGCTTCCATGCACGGGTTTTTCTTTGGTATGAAATAACTATCAAATGCTTTCAATACCTTATCAAGGGTTATCTTGTCTTCATCTCTGAATGTATTATATATATCTACACCATCACTACCCAAACTATATAACAAAATAGACTTCTTGATGTCCTCATTTTGTTCAGCTTCCTTTCCAGTAGCTTTCATGTACAAGGAGAACATCTGTCTCCATTTTTCCCAAGACTGCTTTCCTTCTGCAATGTTCAATGGGTGCGGGGGTTTGAATTCCATCTGACACCATGTAATAACTAGGCACTTATTTTTATATTTTTATTGATATTTAAATATTCAACTTATGTTCAGTATGATATGTTCTCTATGTCAACCTGACATGTGTATTCGTGGTCATGATCACCTAAATGAAACATTCATTTTTCAGAGGCAACTATAAATCTATATAACATAACAATTAGCACAGTGCTCTTCATTACAGTTGAATCTACAATAAAATACAATAAGTCAATAAATAAAAACATAGAAATATGGAACTAAGACACAGACACATGAATTACGTCACATATTTTAATATAAGGGTAATTAACAGATTTCTCCTTTCTCAATTGATCAATCAATAATTTTCTTTCACAAATAACACACACGATTCCTTAAAACTATCTAGTGACACACATCTTTTCATTTCACAGGGCAAATTATTGAACAATACCAGACCTTTTGTATATAAAGTATCACAGACAATATTTACTGAATTTATATAGAAATCATTCGCTGCTTGTCTTCTGGTATTGTGACAATGTACATCTTGAACATAATTAAGCTCACTTGATAAATACAAAGGCAACATGTTATTTTTCAATTTATAAACAAAAATAAGTGTATTATATGAAACTCTTTGCTTGATATTCATTAATTGCAATGTGTTCAGCATTGTTGTGACTGGTGTGCGTCTTTTACAACCCAAGATAGCTCTCATTGCACGATTTTGGACTTTTTGCAGTGTATTAATCTCTTCGTTACTCAAGAAACTCAGTAAAGTACCACAATAATCAATATGAGGTGAAATTATTGACTTGTAAATTGTTAATTTTGTGAAATGAGATACTTTATCACCAAGCCTGTACATGAAACCTATTTTTCGCGCAATTTTCTTTTTAATGTATTCACAATGGCTGTTAAACTTCAGTTGATTATCAATGATCACTCCCAAATACTTGAACATTTTCACTTCTTCAATAATTTCTCCGTTTATCAGAATATTGAATTTTATTTTATTTTCCTGGATCATTTTTGAATTTGCTTTCGAAGATATAATCATGAATTTCGTCTTTGTTACATTAATTTTGAGTCCATTGTCACAGATCCAGGTGAATATATTCTCAAGATCTTCATTCAAGAATTTCTCCACATCCTCTTTCTTGCCAGAGAAGTAAAGCAAGGTATCATCCGCAAATAGTTTCAGCTTACAATTCTGGACGTAATGTATAATGTCATATATGAATAAAATAAATAATATTATTATACAAGTTTTATGAGACACTATGTGAAGGAGTGCCCAAAAAAAACAGTGTGCGACAATATGTCTTATAAAACATGTGTTATTTACTATTTTTTCAATTTAGCATTCATTAGTACTCTTTTATTCAGAAGAATATCATCAAATTGAGAACATCGAATATTAGAAATAGGTAGGTGTATAATATGGAGTACCTAGTTGGTAACAATGAGAAGGATATTTCAACTAATAACTTAAAAAGGAGAAATGTTTGGATGAACAGTTATTTTGGGTTCATCGAAGTGTCAAAATAGAAATAATTATTTATTATATACAAGGGAAGAAGTAGTAGACTTCAGCTTCAGGTCGTGTTGTCCGTGAGCTGAAATCTAATATTTTTCCCTCGATTTTTTCCGTGTATACACTATTTCTTTGTGACAGGATGAAGGACGAATCAATATCGAAAAGATTTTACATTCTATTGAATTAAGAAGATAATTGACGTGAAATTTGAAGTTCTTAACAGCAATGACACCTGCATTGCAGGCATTTTTATCATTATTTTGAAGCAATCAAATGTCTGTCAGTCTGATTCTTTCTCAAGGACGGTGTTATTGGCTTATTTTTCGAAACTTTAGAACAAAAGCCATCAACAGTGTATTTATAATAATATGTGATATATATATGCAGGAGAAAAGTACTCACATCTTTCCTGTGGAATAAAAATATTTTATGGAAAGAGATATTTCAAAACTTGTCAACAGAGATGAAATATCAAACTTTTCTCCCGTCACAGAAAAAAACATATATTGGAGATTCAATGTCATTATCATTACCTCCTTGGATAATAATATGAATAAAATATTTATGAATGTATGATGAATCGATATTCATTGTACAGGACGTGGAAAAAAATTCTGAAATAGAAAATAACGAGTTTCTATCGTTCAAGTTTGAACCCCTTGATTGAGTGAATGTATTGAAAAGGAATATTTTCAGATATAGATAGATAGATAGATAGATACTTTTATTGATCTCTTTTGATTATTTACATAACATGAGACAGGTCCTTATACTAGTTGTAAGTACAGATATGCAATATAGGCAATAAAAATGGTGAAATATAATATTTAAAAAAAGTAAAAAAGTAAGTCAGTATGTATTTCAGTGTTCGTCGTAGCATATAGAGAGGAAATTAGTTGTTTGCCAAACCAAGAACGAATTGATATTTTCATCACATAGAGGATGCGAATTCTAAATGTTCTTTTATATATATATCCATTCTTTATGTGCATAATTATATCTGAGAATATTCCTTCTGAATATAATATGTTCGTTATTTTTATTATTTACGTATTTCCCACCATTCCAGCCTTTGCTGATATGGAGTTAAACACTGAACCACAGAAAACTATGTGATTGAATCCATTAAATGTCTACATCACTGGTTATATCAACTCCTCAGATTTTGCTACAGGGTGAATTGGAAAAGCGGAAAAATTTTTTGATATCATTCAATAACTAACACCTTCGCGTTAAAATTCTGTACCGGGGTATTCAACGTATGCTTCTAAATCAAATCAGTTGGCGACTTTTACGAAAACTGAAAATCTAAGACATTTTTGAAATCTCGATTCCTTCAACAAACAATAGTAGGCATTGAGAATCTGAGAATTTCATATTTGTTCCCATGTAAAACAATTCAATATTATCAAGGTTTGTGTCATTGTAAATCGGTCAACGGATTTTAAATTATCCAAGATCGCACACACTGTATATTGTGAAAAGTTGAGTTCACAATCTACCATTCTACTGCCTATTTGTTGAATCGATGTTGAGTTCGAATAACACAATGCATGTTCTCGCACAATATCCTTCACAAAAATCAAGAATATCGTACAATAATATGCAAATCCTCATTCATACTAGTAGAGTAATAATATACCGTGCATCCACGCGCGGGTTTTCCCTTGTGGAATTACTTGTTTATTTACATTAATTCTAAAGTGTTTTTTGATCATACTAGAATTCAATTAATGTAATTCACACTGTACTCATATGTATGTATATTTTGTATATTTCGGTAAATAAACATTATTATTATTATTATTATTGGGGTACTTAGGACTCTGGGGTAACTTCGGATGTTTTTTTTTCACTAGTGGCAACAATGCGAATATAAACATTACCTCAATTTGATATTTTGGTTAGTTGAAAAGCGACCTGTTGATGAATAATTTAAAGAATTCTTCATGAATTAATGATATTCCAAAAGTATAAAAAATATGTAAGTATTGGTGAGAAGCAAGGGAAAAATAAGTGGTTGAAAACTTTATCTGGAAGAGGAAGTCAAAAGGTAAACAGGTGAGTCCAAGTTTTGTATGTTTCATAAATAGTGCGAACGTCGTTGCACGGTTATAGAATTTTTTTTAGTTTTTCAAATATTTCGAAAATACTCATGATTGGGTAACCTGGGACACCCATCCTTTTAGTTCTTGGTCTTTATGATAAAAATCATGAAAACATGTTACAAGTACTCATCATCATTCCCCATTTGATTATTTTTGCATTTTTGTAATAAAAATAAATGAATAAGTATTTCTTCTGATTTGTCTTCCCTCTAAATAATCTTCTGAGCAAAAAATGTCACCTCAAGATCTGTACTGGTGTATTATTCTCATTTTTCTGCTATCCCAAGTAAACTGTGAGTAATTCAACATGCATTTTCCCCGGGTAACTTGGGACAGTAAATATTTTTATTTTGTCGACAAATGTTCTTACTTTGGAATGGTATGCTTCATGGGTTGAATTCAGTACAGAGGAATTGCTGCTTCACGTCCTTAGAACTTGATGAATTACCACATTATTGAAACAACGAAAGTGAATTTGTTAGTTAGTTAGTGAAGTTAACCCCATTTCACAGTACCTCGTTTTCGCACATTTGTATTATTTGTTTTGGTATGTAACCTGCTCCCTATTATAGCTAATTGTTTTGAAGTACTAACCTAGTCAATGAATCCACCTCGAAATCAGATACAGAACGAGCAAAACTGGCGAAAATGGGATAATTCCATATGCTATGCGCTATCTGAATTTCACGATTACTTCGGAAAACATCGCAACTCGAAGCCTTCTAGATCCACAACCCCACATGAACCAATCCAAGTCGCGAATCAACTGAATTCACGATCTGGTTCAGGCCGATTCCACAACAATTTTGAAACGCGCGCACTCTCAGTCTCAAACAATGTACAGGGTGATCTTTTCAGTTTCCACACCGGATAAGCGACTGAATTTAAGATCGCAGCGCCAAAGTGGCTAGTTGTGGAACTATATGAAAGTACAATGTACATTGTTTTGAAATGGTTCATTCGCTTGTGTCTAATATTTCGATTTTCTGATAGTGATTTAAGCAAAGAAAACTATTTATTTGTGTACTCTTGTGACTCGAGGGAGCTTTTCAGCAGATATTTGTTCAATAAAGTATGTTTCACTACTCCGAATACATGAGATTCGAAAAATGAAAATGCCCCAATTCCAGGTTACAGTTTGCATTTCGTTCCCATTCAGTAGTAAAATAAATATTGCAAATTAAGTAGAATAAAAATAATGTTCACAGAGTAGGTATTTGAGATGAGTATGTATTGTAGTCGATTCATGTACCCACATGTGTTTATGAAAGAGGAAAGGTCCTCGAAGCTGGATGTATCTGTGAATATATGTGATCTTGCTGGTAGAAAAATTGAACATTTTTTTTCATTCTCACTGTAACTTTTCACTTTTAGGAATGAAATGCAACTGAATTCGATGTCAGAGTTGAGAGAAAATCTTTCAATTATACACTGACCGAAATTATCATTTTCTGTGAAATGCAGTGTTGAAACCAAGGATCAAACTTTCATGAATAACATGAGGAACTGAGCAATAATGATTCAATATAGTCTACTGAAGAATTCAAATTAAAAAATATCACAATGATCACTAAACTTCCGATGAAACTTGAATGTAAACTAGCATTCAATGTACTTTCCATTAGTTACTTGAATATCCGCAAGAGAGCGTATCGCTTATTTTGAATCGCCCATTCAAACTTGTTTGAAAAACTAGAGCCACCCAAGAGATCTAATCTCTGAAGTTTTACGAAGTGCAATGAGATCCCCAATCCTCGATGTTTCGTTACCAAAACACCATCTTCAGAATGGCCAGTAATAACTTCTCATACAGGGTGTATCAAAATAACACCAATAAAATCCAAGGAGTGTTTCCTTGTGACATTCTAGCAAATAAAGTTCATGTAAACATGTGTCCAAGCTTGCTCCGTTTTTGAGATACAGGATGGTGAAGTTGGAAGTGTAAATTGTTTTTATTCATAACCCCACTGTATATGCTTTCTTGGTGTCATGGATGAAGACTGGGGAAACCCCAAAATTTCAAGATGATTCTAACTGATATAAAAAAACACCAATTCCTACCTTATTAACCCTTGGTTCTCACGATGTTCTCTGAACATTACAAGATATCCCTTTTCGTGGGAGCCAGAACATGAAAAAAAATTGAAAGGAGTCAAATGAGATTTTTATTGCTTCCTCAAAAACTAAGCTAGATACAGAAATTGCACAAAAAAAAAAACTTGTTATTTCAATAGTTCAATCTAATAAAAATAAAACCGGTGGTGTACAATGACATTCACAATGAGTATCGATAAATTGACCCACTGTGGCGCCACTGAAAATATTATTCCGAATCTAATTGCACTAGAAGAAGCTCCATATTACTATTAACGAAACCACAACGTTTAAATGGAATTGTTGGAAAGGCAATTAAGAAATTGTTAGGGAAAAGACTTTTCGTGGAAATATTAATACCCTGTATCTCGAAAGATCTTTTCAGCACTAAAATGATGCCAAAGTCATTTATCAAAATAGTATCTAACTACTTAACGCATCTAACCAAAGTTCAGGAGAGTTTCAATTGAGAGAAATCGAATAATAACAAGAACTTAAAGGTGCATCAGAACGTTCAAATTCAAGACATTATGTATAGAATTCAAATAGAATTGACTTTCCCCAGTGAACTTCTGTGGAATTCAAACTTTGTCTACTTGCTTTCTTTCATTTATTTCAACAAAACCTATTACTCAAGTCGAATTCCAGAATAGATTGATGATAAAAGTTTTTCCATATGATGCCGACTTCATGAAAAAATGTAACATGCGTCAATCTGAAATAATGCATTCTTTTGCATTCCAACCTAGTAATGCTATCCACAGATGGTCTTTCTGGATGATCTCCTTCGAAACCAATCAAGTTTTTATGACGATAGTCCTGCAATATTTCGTTTCAACTTAGGATCAGGAAGTCATAAAAGTTATACAGTCCAAACTAATATAAGGATTCCACACAATATGAAGACTGCAGTGATGTTATTGATTTTATAGCTTCCGGTGACCTTTTTCAAATCAATTTCCATCAAATATAAAATTCAGTTCAGGATTTCACTAGGTATTTCAATTGGATATGTTGCCACATCTACGAGTTATGAATTGAATATGGTGGTTCGCTCAAGACTATCCACCCTCGATAACTATAAAAAAAACAATGAAACATGTCAGTTTTTATTCGAAGGAGGACATCGTACAAAGCGAAAAAAATTATTTATACTTTTTTGGGGAGGGACAGTTCTTCGGTTTTGAATTCAGTAAATAATTTCTGCCTACTGATAGTCCTACAAAAATTATAAAATGCACACAGCACGAGACTCTATCTACTCTATTTTTTCCAGTACCAGTGAATTTTATGTAGAAAATAGAAAATACAGATTGAGAAAGCTCATATACTGAATCCAAAATTCAAGAGCTGTCCCTCCCCAAAAAACATCGAAGGATTCAAGATCTTATCGGAACTTGATGAAATATTACATACTTCAACCCTTTACTACCCAGAGCAACCCCCTCTATGATTCGAACAGGGAATGAGGGCCTGCTTATACATCATTGCAAATCTGATTCAATTCTGACACTAGCAGTGCAAAGTTTTTGGAAAACCAACGAGTCATTCTTGAGATAGTCGAGATGAATAGGTATCCACAACAAATGTTTAAAATGACTTTCGTGGACTCCCATACAGTGGTAGAGTCTATTTGCTCCTTCGAAAATGTTTCTCTATAGGTCTTGCCTGGAATGGGCGAGTGAACTGACATTGAATTATTAGCATCCAATTACGCCACTGTGCCGTTAGGAACCTGAATTAATTTTTGCGAAATTGTTGAATTTCAGAGCTCATTTCATATTTCAAACGAACCTTCGTGACCGTCATTTGGCGATACGTCGATTAAATGGTGACGTCAGCTTCTATGCTGTTTCGTTATTTGTCAGGTAATCTTTCATCTCTACTCATGAAGTAAGGTTGTCAAGTCACCAATTATAATCAAGTTATCGGAAAGATGTTAGAGTCCTGTCGTTGAATAAAACATTATAGGAGGAACCCATGATGTTTTAGTTCATTCTCAACTTTTTCGAGCAACCAGCATGTCCAAATGTTTCTTATTCTCCATAACAAAATATCATGTGAATGGTGGAGACTTGGCAACGTTGTGCTGAATTCTGAGAACTGGCAAGACCACGCCCACAAGTCGTGCGCCGTGGTTGTCACGTTCACCAATTCAAATGTCCTCTAGTGTGAATTATTATATTTATTTATTATAAGCAATGAGCCACAAATCATAGGGAAACATTTTGAGACAATTGCATTTCTTTGGATAATTAGGAGTATTACCAATACTCAATTGAGAATTTATGAATTATCGAATAACTAATATTTCTGAAGTTCCCAATCGTATTTCAACACATGGCAACTATGCTATGGTCTGCCCCTACGATAGATTTCCAGCTGATTGAAAATTACCTTGACATCATTGATGATTTTAGCACCTAAAAATCGACCAAACAATTCTTAAAAAATATGAAATTGAAAGGTATTTGAGTGATGATTCTAATTGAGAAATAAAAAAAAAGACCACTCGCAAAGTCAATACTTATACAATTCTTCATAAATATAACAGATTTCTACGAAAGCGTACAACGGACATGATATATTTTTTTTCTTAATTTCGAGTTATAACTCGAAATTAGTACTAATTTCGTGTTACAACTCGAAATTAGCTTAATTTCGATTTATAACTCGAAATTAGTACTAATTTCGTGTTACAACTCGAAATTAGTGCTAATTTCGTATAACAACTCGAAATTAGCTTAATTTCGTGTTACAACTCGAAATTGAGCTTTCCTTGAGTTGTAACACGAAATAAGGGCTTCTGTTCAATAAACTCTTAAATCCGAGCTATGTCATAGTTATTTCTTCTTCTGTACAAATTCATCCTCCTCAATTTTCATCTGAGATGACGATCACTAATAAAGATATCATGATTGAAGGCTAAACAGAAAACAATTTCTATTTGTTGTAACTCCAATGAGAAATAAAATGAAATTATTTCTTCCATTGCTTACTACACTGTTAGGTACTATACCGAGATCGATACGACTAATTCTTGTGAAAATCTGACTCATTGAGAGCTTGGTTTCGTACTACAACTCAAGAAAAGCCTAATTTCGAGTTATAACTCGAAATTAGGCTAATTTCGAGTTGTAACACGAAATTAGTACTAATTTCGAGTTATAACTCGAAATTGAGCTAATTTCGAGTTATAACTCGAAATTAAGAAAAAATATCTCATGTCCGTTCTACGCTTTCGTAGATTTCAATTGACCCGACAAAAAATATGATTGGGTGCCATGTCCGGCGAGAGAGCCAGCCATTTTGTTGGTCCTTTCCCACCAATCCATTTGTAGGGAAAATTTCAGGGTGGTGGCTCACTGTCTTGTCGAAAATGAATATTATCAATGAACTTTCACCACAGATTAGATATTATCTGCCAATGGATTTGGATAACCATGACCATCAAAGTCCGTGAGATAATGGCTATACTAAAATGGCCAGCACGCTTGCCGGACACAGCACCTAATGATATTTTTCCTCGGGGTCATTTGGAATCCATTATTATCAAGTGGAATCTCCTGACCTGAACGATTTGGACAGAAGAATTAATTGGGATTGAACGCCGGACAATATAACGAAAGGAACATCTTCATATTTTCGAGAAAAATTTGCAAATACCCAACTGTCTGGTGGCCAATTTGGTGTTTTT